TAACCAAAGTGTCCCGGTTGGAGAACTTAGGTATGAGAGAGGAAGGTCATGCAATGAGCACCCCACTCACCCGATCAAAGATTGGCCTCTACTAATCATGATGTGAATTTTATGGACAGTATATGCTCATGTTCTGATTTTATCATGCTAACTTACTATGTGAGGCATACAAGTATAGACCACGTTGCTCACTTTGGAATGTTTTGATTTCATGTTTATTTTGAAAAGAGTTTTGAATATGTGCTACTTGAACAAAAAGTGAGCCCATATGTACATTTATCAAAGTCGTTCCAACTTAAGCGAAATGGCCTTCATCCACAAGCATTCAAAGAGGTATTTCAAATAAGCACGTAGCCTCATGGTAGTATGCTTGACATGGAAACATAAATGCACATGTAATATGCTAAAGCAAAAAAAATTCTCACCTAGTACTCCGAGGCAAGCCAAGAAGAAGTTAGTTAAAAATAATGCATGACCCTAACTATGTACATGACTAATGCAACACATACACAATGCAATTATTAGATTTGGCTTCTTAACATGACATATGAATCAATGCAAGGTACGCAGTGGCGCATGTGTTCAAGCAAGAAATAATTGATGTTATCAAGTATGATGAGCCCAACCCTAATGTATGCAAAAATGAATGCAAGTCATGGTAATGATATGAAATGAAAACATGATACTACATGCAACCACGATAAGCAGGTAAATAAAAGAGAGAAAGAAATGAGAGTTGGAAGACATACAAACATTACAAGTTTGCCCTCACACAAGAGGGTCTGAATGAACGTCCTAATCAACTAATTGTTACAAATCCAAATTAATGAACCAAACTAATTAATTATTACAAATTCGAATGCAAGCGATTAATTAATTACAACATATGAATCTAAAAGCTACTAGGCTAATGGACTTGAACGAGAGGCGAGGAACCGCATATGCACAACTGAGAACACCCTCCAGAAACCTCTCTATTTATTGCCAGAATATGCCCTGCTTACAATCAGAAAATTGTTCTGTTTTGGCCTCAAGATCAGTTCTGTTCTGCTGCAAAATTACCACTGCCATACAAAATGGATGGTCGGCCGGCCTGATGAGATGGTCGGTCGTATAGAGTAATGGCCAGTTGGCCACTGTTTTTGGGGAATACCCTGTTGCAACAGAGCTGAAACAGAGCAAGGTAGAGTGTTTACAGGAGATGTTATCCTCTCTGTCTCTCCCTATCATGAAGATAATCAAGGGAGAAGTAGATTCGATTCTCAAATCATCAATCATTGCAAATTTGTTGCATGATCATCTTAGAAGCGATAGGAAAAAAGCTTAATAGACACAACGAAAGACAAACAATACCTCCTCCCTATCATGGAGTTACCTCAAGGGAGGGGGTAGACTTGCTTCATAAATCATCGAACATTACTAAAAAGTATGCGATGATTCTAGGAGCAATAGGTTCAGTATAACGCTTGACTAAACCTAACCAAATTTTATTATCTTTTTATCTCTTTTTTACTCCAATTTTATTAGCCTTTTTACTTTACCTATCCATTTTCTTATATTTTCTTCCTTTTTGTCCAAATGCGATGATTACGTCTACTAAGTCCATAACAATAAAGAATAACAAGCATGACTTGACCCGAGAAATGAGCTTTCAAGCCCTTTTCTATGCGGAAAATTACAAAGTAAGAATCAAACTCATTTACAAGCGATAATGAATTCAAAGTCAAACCCGAAATAAACGATAATGACTCCAAATCCAAACCCAATAATGAACTATATTGACTCTTTCCTTTATGATTTCCAAGAGTCTAACTAGAAAATTAGTCCCTTAGAAGTAATGCACCAACGATAAAGGGAAGTGTCAAACAAAAGATCATGCTTAGCATAAGAGAGATGTAATGCCCTAGTAATGAACTTCTGAAGAGATTAAGCCATTTAGCATGAGGGGTCCATTTTTTATGCCTTGAGTGGCAATCTTTTGTTTGATACAACTCTTAATCAAAAGAAATAAAGAAATGAGGGAGATTGCAGAGTGCTAATGAAAAGGTGGATGATTACAACATCATGAATATATATGAAAGCTACAAAAATAAATAAATAAATAAATAAAGGAAAAGGGCTATCAACTCAAATAGATTGAAATCTATGGCCTATACACCAAATCCATGAGATTGCCTGTATATGTTACCCTTTTGTAAGCTCAATTAGACTTAATGGAAGATAATTACTTTATCATAATTATCACTTATTGATACTGTAGATGGGTTGTTGTATTTATTTTGAGATGTTATAGGTGCCGAGCCTTCCAGCTAGTACCGGTAAAAATGGCATTGATAATGCTTGTATAGCCTACTTGCAGACACGTACCTAGAGATTTGCAGAGCTTGTAATCACTACCCTGTTTTCTATTGTAAAGGAAATGTTTTCATGAATTGTGATATAACTTGGCATTGTATGTTTTTGGAAAGAAATATAAAATGTTTTGGCACAAGTATTACACATATATTCACCTTATAGTTTTCTTAAGATTAATACACTGTGCTAGAGTATCTCTATTAGGTTTTAGCTCACTCTATATGCCTCCGCCAAGAACATAACTTGGGAGGAACTTCGAGCTGAATGCTTCTTTTTTGTTATTTGTTATATTTACTTTTGTACAAGCCTAGGGCTTTAACTGTATTGAGTTTAGACCCACCTTTTTTGTAACCAAGTACCGCCTTGGAAAGTTGTAGTCGTTAGGGTATAAAGATATCTGTTTAATCTTTATTGCATATCTCTTGCTTATGGCAAATGCTATAGATTCAGGGTTAGAGGTTATGAATGTATAGTTGCATGTGTCATCTTTTGTACAATTGAGTCATGTGAATGTAAATATATCATATTTAGAAATGTAATGCCATTTATTAATATTGTGAATAGTTTTATTGTTAATTATTTCGAGGCGTTACAAAGTATAATTTAACACAAAACGAAAGTGTATGAAAATAACATGCGAACTTTTGAGATGCAGCACAAATCTCTATTTTAAAAATTTATGTCCTTTCCTCTGTTTAAACTCGAATGAAAGCATATAACTTTAAGATTCAACCAAAATTATTCACAGTGATTTGATCCATGATGGACAATTATAAATATTATGTCTATCAATATAGAAGCAGACACAGAAAATAAAAAAAAATAATTATTTTTTAGTAAGAGAAGGTATATAAATCTACTTCTCATGAGAATTGATCTTGAAACATCCAAAGCGGAATGCCTTCACAAGAACAAGCCTAGTACTCAAAAAAAAGAGGATCCAATTGACATAACTCAGTTGGAAAGAAAAAACCCATAGTTCATCATAGATGAGCAAATGTCTTACTCAATTACAAAACGCACGAAAAGAGAATAGCAGAACATGGCATTGGTTTGTTGTTCAATCATTATCAATATAAAAAATAAGGAGACTTTTTTTTTGATAAGAAGGGAGGCAGTTTGTTTATATTTATATAGGACTCTTGGAATGAGATATATCGGGTGTGTTTGGTTTGGTTTTGGGAGATAAATTTTCAAAAAAAAAAATTTGGAAGAGAGTTAAATTTTTATTTTTTTTTGGGTTTGCTTGGTTGTATATTTTGGAAATAGTTTTGAAGTATTAGAGTTTGGGATGATTTGATATTTTGTTGTAATTGAGTAGATTGCGTGAGAAAAAAGTGATTGAGAATGAGAGAGGGGAGAGAAAAAAAGATTGATTGACGTGTAGGAGAGAGAAAGTGATTTTGTAAATTATTTTCTAAGATCACTAAACCAAATAAAATTTTAAAAAAAAAATTCTTCAAAATTTGTTTCTCAAAAACAAACCAAACAAGGCCTTGATTTTTCAGCTCGCTTTTAGGGCAATGGAAGCCGAGCAGGTATGGGTGCTTCAAACACACAACAAGGTTCATTTTATTTGTAAATTCCTTATAAAGAAAGTTTATATAAAATCTTTATAACTTAAAAAAAAAAAAAAATAGATTTGAGGGGTAAATTATAAATACACCCTTGAGATTTGATTAAAATACAAATCGCCCCTATAGTTTTGGAAATTACATTTCACCCCACGAGGTTACTAATTTCATAACAAATTGCCTATTTTATTAATAAATCATCAAGTCAATTAACAGTTTTTAATGATGCTATAAATATGTTTCAATTAATAATTTAGGTAATTTTATTATTGTATACAAGAACAATTATGAATTTCTTTTTTTTTAGTTAATTATGTTAAATAAAAATTTTTAACAAGGAATATTTGTAATTTTTCAAACTATAAGGGACAATCTGTACTTTAAACAAATTTCAAAGAATATATTTGTAGTTTACCCTAGATTTGAGAATATAAAATTGAAATTTAAAAGAAATAGAAAATAAGACAAATCTTTCATACTTTTATAATAAAATAATAATATACTTTTTGAAAAAAAAATAGCGTTTTTCCGACTTCTAAAATAACCTAACACTATGTTTGGATTGAGTGATTTGGAGAGAAAAGAAAATAAATGGAAAGATATGCATTTCTGTTACTTGTTTAGATAACTTAAGTGGAGAAAAATAGGAAGAAATTGAGAAAAATTGAGATAAACTCATTTTTCTTATAAGTTTCATTTTCAATCTTTCCTAAAGTGAAGAGATTGGGAGAGAAAAGAAATCACTATTTTCATAATACCAATTTTATTTCTACAAAAATAAAAGAAATAAAATGATTGAAAATATAAGAAGATTATTTTGATAATATAACATAAAATAATTTTTTTTTTCTCTTAATAAAATCTAATCAAAAAAAAATAAAAGAAATTACAACCATTTGTTTTCTTTATTCCTTCTGTATCCAAAAAAAAAAAAAAAAATTACAACCATTTTATTTTTTTTATTTTCTTTTATAACCTAACTAATCCTATCCTTTCTTTTCTTTTCTTTTCTTTTTTCTTTTCTTTTCACCTCCCAGTGTAAATACGCTATAATTACCTCTTAGGTTAGGTTTAGGTTAGGTTAGGTTACGTTACTTGTGTCTGCTGTCTAGGTTTTCATTGTTGTATTGTCTCTCTCTGCGGGAAGGTATGGCTTCCGATCTCTGCATCCAAAGGAACGATTCCAAATGGGAGATTAGAGATTCACTGGCGAAGAAGCAAAGGTGCGATGGTTACGCTTCCCCGCCACCTCCACCATCACCATCACCATCACCATCAGCGCTTTGTTCATCAGCAGAAGAAGAAAAAGAAGACCCTAGATCTAAAATCGTATTCTATAACTACGATGATGATTCAGATGTGGAAGATGATAGTGATGGAATGCATGAGTTTACTGATAAGGAATTCCAAGAGTACGATAGACAGTTAACCCAAAGTGATGTATGTATATCTTATCTAGCTTCTCTTAATACTTCCCTCTTTCATTTGTCTGTATTTTCTTCAAAATCCTATATATATATATATATATATGTTTTATATTATTGTTGTTGTAATGTAATAGAATTTGTGGGCTTACAATACATGTATACATATGCATATACATATACAGGGCTTTGATGTCATGTGCTTCCCACGCTCGTTTGGGTGTGGTGGAACATTGCCGGTTTTTAACCTCGATGAGATTGTCGACGATCTCAAAACTTTTGCGGAATTGGCGCTCAAGCAATACAATGACAAAGAGGTGTATTTCTTTATTCAATTAAAGTTTTTTTTCATTGTTTTGTTTGTTTGTTTGGTTTGAGAATTAGCCTTTGTTGTTCATAATATATGTTGGAAAATATGTGTGCAGCTTAAGAATCTGGAGTTTGTGAAGGTTGTGAAGGCAAACAGGGGTTTATTTGCTGGGTTTATGTATTATATTACCTTCGATGTTAAGGATGCTGATGCTGTTGATGGTGGTACTATGGAATTTCAGGCTTGTGTTTGGGATGGGATTGGCCATACTGACGTACTAATTAGTAGGCTGAAAATTAGCACTTAGTCAAGGTAAATTAACTACCTAGTGTATGCTTAGTACCTATGTATTGATGCTTATCGGTGTGGCAGCTTTCTATGCCTTCTCTATTGGCATTTATTTTTTGATTTTATATGAAGTATTTTTTGTGTTCATATCAAGTTTTGTTTGCTTTAGTGGCATATTATTCCTATGCTTATTGGATGATGTTTAGTAAGTACTTATAGAAGACAGATAACAATTTGCAGCTTACAAGGTTTTCATTTCTTGAAACATTCTTATATCTATACATTCTAATTACTGGTTTTGTTTTCATTTTTTTGAAAATGGGAAATGGGAAATTTATTTGGTATACTGTGTTCGTTTCGAAAATTAGCACTTAGCCAAGGTAAATTAACTACATAGTGTATGCTTAGTACCTATGTATTGATGCTTATCGGTGTGGCAGCTTTCTATGCCTTCTCTATTGGCATTTATTTTTTTGATTTTATATGAAGTATTTTTTGTGTTCATATCAAGTTTTGTTTGCTTTAGTGGCATATTATTCCTATGCTTATTTGATGATGTTTAGTAAGTACTTATAGAAGACAGATAACAATTTGCAGCTTACAAGGTTTTCATTTCTTGAAACATTCTTATATCTATACATTCTAATTACTGGTTTTGTTTTCATTTTTTTGAAAATGGGAAATGGGAAATTTATTTGGTATACTGTGTTCGTTTCCAAAAAAATTGAATTGATTTCAAAATTTCAAAAATTGTAATAAAAAAAAGGGTGTTTTCATTTGTCTTGAAAATGAGTTTTCATTCTCTCCTCTCCTATGAAGCACAGATACTTCAAAAAGGGAGACGTATACACTTTTCAAAAAATTCTACTTTCTTGTTTTCTGTGTTTTTTTTGTTTTTACTGAATTTTTTTAATATTTTAAGCAAATTTTTTTTTTTACTTTTTAGACATACCTAAAATAATTATACCTAAAAAGTAAAAAAATTGTGAAGAAAACCTTTTAAAAATTCACTAAATACCAAAAATACACAAAAAATACATAAAAAAAAATGAGAATTCAGTACATTTTTTTGTATTTTTATGTATTTATTAATTTTTTAAAATATTTTTTCACAAATTTTTTACTTTTAAGGTACATCTAAGTAAGGTGCATCTAAAAAAGTAAAAAAATGTTTAAAATGGTTAAAAATATACACTAAAAACTCATTTTTCAAAAAACTTAACCTAAAAAACTCAAATCAAACACACTGAATACTCCTTGGATACTCGCGGATACGTATCAGATATTTCTTAATTAATTTTTTTTATTAATTTTGGAGTATCGGATACTCAATTTTGAAGTAGCGGATACTTAATTTTGAAGTATCGGATACTCGAAGACACATATTACTTCTAATGCTTTGTTTAGTTCTTTGATAAGAGAAATATAGTGAGAGTTAAAGTAATAGAATTTGTCAAATTGATGTATCCTTATTGTTTCTCTCACTTCTCTCTCTCTCACGTTTCTTTTCTCTGCGCTCGTTCATTTTTTAGTGTTGGCATGTAAAGATAATGGCCTTGTTTGGTAGGGCTTATTTCAGCTTTTAGCTTAATTTAAGATATTTTGATGTGTTTGATTCAGTATAACAATACAGCTTATAGCTTTTTGTAAATCAAAAATCAACTTATTCTTTGAGTGGGGGAGGAGAAGCTTAATTTATAAGTCAAAAAATCTGCTTATGTTCACAGCTATAAACTATAAGCTGTTAGGCTATAAGTTATAATCACTTTCCCACAGCTCTACCAAACGAGGCCAATGTTTAATTTGCATTTGCATTTGCATTTGCTTTTAGTTTTGGATGTTTTATGATTGTTTGAAGACTTTTAGCTTAATATGAATCCCTCTCTTTAATTATTAATTTGCTTTAGGTTTCATATTCATGCATATTACATTTAAAATTATAAAAAATGGTTTTTTTTTTTGTTTTACGAACGTATCTCCGCTGTATCCGTATCCTACTTTTTTAGATTTTGGCATATCAGCGTATCCATATTGTCGTATCATGTATCCGTATCCGTATTCGTGCTTCCTAGCCTGTCTCCCTTGCCACCCCCATTATCCACCACTTCTAGGGACTGGCCATTCTCCCATTGAGACCCCCGGCCACTGTCCGTCTCCCCTTTTGACCTCTAGCCACCTTTCGGCAACCCCCTGTGATCTCTAACGGCACTTTTGCAACCACCTCTGGCCACCCTCCACCAGCGGCCTTCACCTTCAGTAACTCATCAAGCATGTGTCTTTGCTTTTGTTTTTATTTGTTTTCAAAGTATTTGTGCACACCTTTCTATGTTTTTTACAAAAAAATAAAAAAAAATGTTTTTTTTTTTTTACTTTTTAGACATACCTAAAATAAATATACCTAAAAAGTAAAAAAATTGTGAAGAAAACCTTTTAAAAATTCACTAAATACCAAAAATACACAAAAAATACATTAAAAAAAAAAACGAGAATTCAGTACATTTTTTTGTATTTTTATGTATTTATTAATTTTTTAAAATATTTTTTCACAATTTTTTTACTTTTAAGGTACATCTAAGTAAGGTGCATCTTAAAAAGTAAAAAAATGTTTAAAATGGTTAAAAATATACACTAAAAACTCATTTTTCAAAAAACTTAATTCAAAAAACTCAAACCAAACATACTGAATACTCCTTGGATACTCGCGGATACGTATCAGGTACTTCTTAATTAATTTTTTATTAATTTTGGAGTATTGGATACTCAATTTTGAAGTATCGGATACTTAATTTTGAAGTATCGGATACTCGAAGACACATTTTACTTCTAATGCTTTGTTTAGTTCTTTGATAAGAGAAATATAGTGAGAGTTAAAGTAATAGAATTTGTCAAATTGATGTATCCTTATTGTTTCTCTCACTTCTCTCTCTTTCACGTTTCTTTTCTCTGCGCTCGTTCATTTTTTAGTGTTGGCATGTAAAGATAATGGCCCTGTTTGGTAGGGCTTATTTCCAGCTTATTTCAGCTTTTAGCTTAATTTAAGCTATTTTGATGTGTTTGATTCAGTTTAACAATACATCTTATAAATTTTTGTAAGTCAAAAATTAACTTATTCTTTGAGTGGGGAAGGAGAAGCTTAATTTATAAGTCAAAAATCTGCTTATGTTCACAGCTATAAACTATAAGCTGTTAGGTTATAAGTTATAATCACTTTCCCACAGCTCTACCAAACGAGGCCAATGTTTAATTTGCATTTGCATTTGCTTTTAGTTTTGGATGTTTTATGATTGTTTGAAGACTTTTAGCTTAATATGAATCCCTCTCTTTAATTATTAATTTGCTTTAGGTTTCATATTCATGCATATTACATTTAAAATTATAAAAAATGGTTTTTTTTTTTTGTTTTACGAACGTATCTCCGCTGTATCCGTATCCTACTTTTTTAGATTTTGGCATATCAGCGTATCCATATTGTCGTATCATGTATCCGTATCCATATTCGTGCTTCCTAGCCTCTCTCTCTTGCCACCCCCATTATCCACCACTTCTAGGGACTGGCCATTCTCCCATTGAGACCCCCGGCCACTGTCCGTCTCCCCTTTTGACCTCTAGCCACCTTTCGGCAACCCCCTGTGATCTCTAACGGCACTTTTGCAACCACCTCTGGCCACCCTCCACCAGCGGCCTTCACCTTCAGTAACTCACCAAGCATGTGTCTTTGCTTTTGTTTTTATTTGTTTTCAAAGTATTTGTGCACACCTTTCTATGTTTTTTACAAAAAAATAAAAAAAAATGGTTCCTATTTTATGTTAATAGGAAACAGAAAATTGACAACATCATCAAATGATCTATTTGCCACCAGAATTAGTTCTCCATATGTATAGGTTTGGACTAAGCATTATTTGACTGTAGGATGATATAATATGACTTTAGGATCATAAAGGGTATGTTAATTTTAAATATGGTGGGATTTTTTATTTTTTTTTGAATTTTATTGATAAAGACAATGGCTTTACTTTTGTATCAGAAGCATTATTAATTTATTTATACTAATATTTAAAGGGAGAACAATATTTGGTGTTCCCCTCAATTTGAAGTTGTGTAGAATTTTATTTTCCCCAAATTATCCAAAAAAATCAGTATGTTAAACAATTCCATTTTTATCACATGACTATTTAAAAGTTTAAACTATGAAGCAATTATTAAAACTCCCCCTTATAGTTAGCGATTTATCACCCTTAACCAAGGTCGTGAATCTTGTATCGTGCCAGCCTATATTGTTCGAAATGTATTGTTACACTAGAAAAACGGTATAGAAGACCTTCGATCCAGTGCCGGTTAAGTTATTGGATTGTTTTCAGCTATCTTAGCAATTTTTAGCATAGTCCAGCTGTGCCATTTTGTACCAGTTCCGTTTGGGGCATACATGTTATATTCGTAGTTCTTACAAAGAAGCCCTAAGAATTGAGAAGTGTTGGTGATGCCAGTAGCTATCCATCACCAACGACTGCGAATTTGTATTGTAAGGTCAAGCTGTAACATGCCCCACCATCTTTGTCAAAGGTTACATTGGTTTTTTATGTTTGTCTTCTCAATATACTTTAGACACATGTAGATAGATAGAGAATGAATGCCATTTAGGTTTGAAGCTGCTTTAACATCTTAGGAAGAACTTTAGGACCGGGAAAACTAGTGGAAAGTATCAAGACTTGTTTAATTTAAGTGTGTTGTACCGGTTAAAATGTGTTAAACAAAAGGTTTAATTTTGTTGCATGATCATCTCTTGCAGGTGTATGCATGCTCAACAATACAAAAGATTAAAAAAAAATTATGTAGTGTGTTTGCTTTGAGTTTTCTGAATTAAGTTTTTTGAAAACTGAGTTTTTTTGTTTTTAGTGAATATTTTTAAAATTTTAAACATTTTTTTTTACTTTTTTAGATGCACACTTAGATGTATCTAAAAAGTAAAAAATTTGTGAAAAAATATTTTTAAAAATTAATAAATACATAAAAATACAAAAAAATGT